ATCATTTAGTGGTTCCCGTGGATACTGCCCCCATCCCCCACCTCTCCTCTCCGAAGGAGCACACCAAGAGCAGTGGGGAGTGTTCCCCAGGACCTGGCTTCAAAGACACAGTGTGACACAGATCCTTTCACAGTGTTTCCGGAGACAGCAATTTCCAGCGCCTGGCACAGCATGATTTTCCTAGGGAGGCGAACCCTTTCCCTTTCTTCTGCAGTTTTTGAAGGAAGTTTATGGGCATCTAATTCCACAGCCTCCTTTCCCTGGCTTATCTTTTTATGACTGGAGAGCAGTCTTCCTTATCTCAGAAACAAATGGTTTCCCCAGGAGCTGAAAGCAGCAATCATTTATCTGTCTGACACGTGTTTCCCTGTTTGTTTTCCAGCCTTGAGACAGGAGTTGTGTCAACGGTAGATGGCTGTGCCCCAGTCACTTGAGAGACATGAATCAATTTCCCAGCTGCATTTATCACTCACTGCTTTAAATCAAGTCTAATCAATGCTTCCTTCACTTGCCATGGGCTGAAGAACTATGGCGCATGCTCAGAAGACAGGCGGGACCGGATAGGATCGCATGCTTTCACCTGGGAGTGAGTTGTTAAATCCTGACCAAACACTCAGAGATGTGTTTGTGAGAAACTCAACGTTCAGAAACTATACCTGATAGGCAATGACATTACATGACAGGACATGTTATTTAGACAGAGTTCTACATCATAAAGTCTTTTGCAATTAACATTTCTGAAAATATGATGTATTTTTAGTTTTACTCCTATTTCTTTTAGTAGTGTCTGTTCTCATCATTATATAAGTTGATTTCCAGTTACTTCTTATAAAACTTAACAATATAAAAGGGTCCATGTTTTAAAACAATTTAGTAAATGTTTATAACTAGTAACTCCCTCAGGTATGCAGAAACAGAATCTGTTTCCCACAAAGAAAGTGTATTTTCCACTGGCAGGTGTGAAAACCGCCCAGCAGCTGCCAACCAATTCAGCATGTGGTAGGGAGCAGCCCTGTCTTGCTGGTAAATTAATCTTGTGGTAGTGAAAGATGATACTATCCTGGTTCCAGCAGCAGCACCCATCATGCCCACAGGAAGACTATGCATTACTCTTCAAGGATAATGGGACAGGCAGAACATGAGAAAGCCAGTCAGTGATGATGCAAAGCCAGAGGACGAGGTGTCACTGTGACTCAGCGATATAATTAATATTCTATGTTACCTGCTGAACTTGCAGACTTTGATCACCAGCCTGTTTCTGAATAATGATCAGAGCTGGGTCATTTCACAGTGCTGACTCCCCTAGCAACCTGTTGTTAGGTATTGAAATACAGCCTTGTTTGGCTTGGGGAAGTCAAGCAACAAGGACGAACCCTCATGCTGGTTAAACACTTCAACTTTATCATGTGTTTTGAACATAAAGTCTCACTATATAAAGATAAGCAATACAAATACAGACAAATTCTGCATGTTTTGTCAAAAACACCGTCTTGGGGTTTCCATTGCCGTGAAGAGACCTCATGACCAGAGCAACTCTTATAAAACATTTAACTGGGGTTGGCTTACAGTTTCAGAGGTTTAGTGCACTATCATCATGATGGGAAACATGGCGGCCTGCAGGCAGACAAGGGGCTGGTGAAGGAACTGAAAGTTCTACATCTTGATCCACAGACAGCAGAAGGAGAGACTGTGTTCCACACTGGACAAGGCTTGAACATAGAAAACCTCAAAGCCCCTCCACGGTGACATACTCCTTCCAACAAGACCACACCTCCTAATAGTGCCACTTTCTACGGATCAAGCACTCAAACACATGAGTCTGTGGAGGCCACACCTATTCAAACTACCACACACACATTGCATATGTGAAGGTGGCGGCCTAAGATTCTATCACCAGGCTGGGCCTGGTGGCACAAGCCTGGAATTCCTGCACTTGGGAGGCTGGCACAGGGAGATGCTAAGTTCCGGGCTAGCCTAGGCTTTACATTGACAGTAAGTCGTTGTTGCAAAACCCAAAAACCAAACCCGAAAGAATCTACTTGATTTCATCATAGTCACCATAGTTTCGGTAAGAAGACTCCATGATGTCCACACACTGAGTGACACAATAATTCAACACTGTACTTCTCAAAACACATTCCCCTTGATCCCTATAATTTCAGTCCTATTTCGAAGATGAAAGGAAAAGTTTGGAGTTATGACATCTCTCCCCTAGAGCAGGTCACCCCTGAGCCAAGGCTCTGGAACTCAAGTCCATGTCTTGTCAACTTCAACGAGTCAAGTCTCACTGTAACTAAGCCACCACTGTGGTCTCCTCTCTGTTCTTTCCCTAACGTGCCTTTTCTCCCATCATCAAGCATTCTTGGGAAACTCTTGTGGTTCTAGGAGACCCCTAAAGTTGTCTGGTGAGATGTTCAGCATAAAATCCCCGAAGGCAGCCCTTTGAGGGGTGTTCTGGGTCACAGGTGTGATGGAATAGTGTTCTTAGCCCTCTCAAACAAAGGCCAGGTGTCATGATTCATGAGCCTTAAACCCCATGGACAAATGGAGGGTAAAGGGAATGGCACAGACTGAATTCCGAGTCTGAAGCTTCGGCACTCACGCGTGTCATCTCTAATACTCATGAGGGAGCTCACAGGGCCCCATGGCTTTAACACTGGCAGAAGGATCATGTTTGCATATCTTTAGGGAAGGCAGTTTCTCCAAGACAATTCTCATGGAAGTAAATCCTGTCCAGACTCCTACGGACAGGAATTGATGAAAGGAAAAAACTGTCCACGGCTTTAAACATTTAGACAAGGGAGGATTTGCGTACTTGCAGTTAAACGGATCCAAAGCCTTTTCAAAGTGGCCTCAGGTAATGTGCTACTGAGGAGAACTGGATTCGAAATGGTCACAGAAATTCTGAAGCTTTCCAGGGAGCCTGAGAAAAGGCTCCAACACATCCAGACCAAGCTGTTAGAATGTTTAGGCATTAACACGCATGCCAAATGGCACAGTCACCCCAACTAACATGTTAATACAACTGGAATTTATATTAGCAATACAAATTCTTGCAGTCTTTCTAATCCAAAGAAAAGGGGACCATACAGTCTTAGAATAAAAAGTGCTGAGACAAACACGTATCAGGTTTCGTTTCATTTCCACCCAAAGCAAATCGATTTATTTTACTTGTTCATTCACTCGCCATGTGTCTCTGGAGCACTGAGAATATAGCAGTGGAGTTCATGAGTAACAAGACCTGATCCAGACCCACTGCCCCAGCAACTGACCTGCAAGCTGGGAAATGCACATAATACACTAACTCTGATACCATTTCCATTCAAGATGGAGGCATAGGGAGCAGCATTAGCAAAGAGAAAAATGGGAACATGTATGAAGCCATAATTTTTCAAGATAATGAACATCAGGTGATGGAAGACAGGAAGCAGAGCAGGTGAGCTCTACGAGTGTCCCACTGTGCAAGACAGAAAACTCAGGGTGAGCCCAGTAAAGTGTGGAGCTCAGGAGACAGGCCAAGGGCTTTCTGACCAAAGCAGCTGCTGTCTCCTATGGTGAGAAAGCCAAAGAGCAGGAAAGCATGGTGATTTGAATCAAAGGTTTCTAGTCTTATGCTCTGAACATTTCCTTCCCAGTTTGTGGCAGTGTTTTGACATCTGTGGAGCCTTTGCAGTGGGTCTGGCTGGAGAAAGCATGTCCCTAGGGACAGGTCTTTGCTTTTGGTGCTGATCTGTTTTCTCTGCTTGCCACCACATGAACAAGCTACCCTTGAAATTTCCAACCTTCACAGATGGAACCATTCCCACCCCATGCCTCTCCCACCAGAAAGGACTGAAATCTCTTTGAAATTATGAGTCAAAAATGAATGGCTCAGCAGTTAAGAGCACTAGGTGCTCTTCTAGGGAACCTGGGTTCAATTCCAAGCACCCACATGGCAGTTCACAACTGTCTGTAACTTCAGTTAAAGGGGATCCAACACCCTTACACAGACATACACGCAGTCAAAACACCAATACACATAAAATAAAATAAAAAGTTTTTAAAAAATGCATCTTTCTTTCCTAAGTTGTTTCTGCCAGTTGCAAAGCTGATTACAGCTATGCAAAAAGTAAGGGAGTGGGGTAGAAAGGCAGGGAGACACACATGGACAAGCATATGCAGACGGAGAAGCTACATCAGGAATACAAACACTGGGCAATAATGGATCCGAGAATGAACTGCCCTAGATGAACAAACACAGAAGACAGATCCAAACCAGCACAAGCCACTTAGTTGAATCCCCAAAGAAAGATAAAAAATATTTGTAGAAACGCAAACCCAACACCAAGCAAGATAAAATGCAGAGTGTGGCAGATGATCAAAGGGGATAAGGCATGAAACAAAGCAGGAGAACGTGACGAATAATGAGAACTCGTATCCAGACCTTATAAAGAACTCTCAAGCCAAAAACAAGAAAAATAAAGTACCTTTTAAAAATGCCAAAAGATTTGGGCACTTCAGAAAAATGGGAGTAATAAGCATGTGAAAAGAAGCTCAGCAGAGTAAATCTTAAGTCAGTGAACATGAATGAGAATCAGGCTTCAACTTCAACTCCATACCTGTTGGGATGATAAACACTAAGAGGGGTGACAAGATGGCCCAGGCGGTAAGAGTGCTTGACAGCGTGTCTGATAATCCAGTTCAGTCTCTGGAATCTACACTCCCTGGAAGGCAAGGACTGACCCCTGAAAGTTGTCCTCTGACCCCCCCCCCCATGTGTGCACATACAGTAACTAAATAAGCAAATGTAAAAAAGATGAAAATACCAAATAGCATTGAGCAATGAAGAGAATGGGAACACTGACACAGTGCTAGTGTAAACTGGTCCTTCCAACCTATGAGGGAAAACAATTGCACAACCTGGTAAAATGTTAAACATCTCCCCAACACACACTCAAGACATGTCACACTAACACCTAGAAAAGAGGAAAGCATGCGTGCACACAGAGACTTGTACTCAAAGGCTTACAATAATTTTATTAACAGTCAAAACAATGGCAGCAACTTCAAATGTCCATCACTGGGTGAATGCACAAAGCTACTCCAAGAAATGGTCTCCATACTCTGAAAACAACACAAAAGACTCGGCACACATTAGTGTACCCATCGATCTCACAATAGTTATGTGCAGTGGAATGAGCCTGACCAAAAGGGCATACTTCCTGCTTTAGTTTATGTGCAATGCAAGCCGCTGGCTTAAGACACAGAAGATTAGTGGTTGCTTAGGGGACACAGGTGGGTGGCATCTGGCTCAGAGAAAGGGGTGTCAAATGGTCCAAGGACAGCTGGAAATGATAGGGAAATTCATTACCCTGACTGCAGTGAGCATTTCACCTGGTATCTTCACTTGCTAGCATTTCTCAGTGTACACTCCAAATGTACTACCTGTCAGCTGCCCACAGCAGTGGTTTTCAACCTGTGGGTCATGGCCCCTTTGGGGTTGCACATCAGAGATCTTGCATATCAGATATTTATGATTCATAACAGTAACAAAATTACAGTTGTAACATAGCAACAAAATAATTTTACGGTTGGGGGAGTTACCACAAGGAACTGTATTAAAGGGTGACAGGATTAGGAAGGTTGAGAACCACTGCTCCAGAGCTCTACACAATACCTAATAGAATTATGGTCTTCAGTTTTAAATATTACTTACACCTTGGAAAGAATACTTCAGGACTTTATTTTTTCAAGTTGCAAAATAAAAAATTCAAAAATGTTAGCTCACTGAAAAGCAATATCCTATATCCACACAGAAAAAGTACACAATGAAAAGCAGAAATTCTACTTCTATATGAAAGTCTTGCTGACCTAGTTCCTCATAATGAGTCAGCCAATTGAGTCAATCACACGGCACCTGTCTCCTCTCCTCTCCACCCTGCATACTGCTGTGGCTTCCAGCACTTACACCATGGGGTGTGGAAACCCAAAGCACGGTCTTCAGCTTGTCTCCAACATTGTCTATCAGAGGGGCCTGGGAAGTAGCCATATTTGTGCGGAGTCCACCATCTCCAATCTCCTCTATCAGAGAGGCCCGGGAAGAGGCCAGTGGCTGCTCTTGACTGTCTTCACACCCCTGGGTGGTCATGTTTCTGCAGAGGCCACCATCTCCAATCTCCTCCAGCAGAGGAGCCTGAGAAGAGGCCATGTTTGTGCAGAGCCCACCATCTCCAATCTCCTCCAGCAGAGGAGCCTGGGAAGAGGCCATGTTTGTGCAGAGTCCACCATCTCCAATCTCCTCCAGCAGAGGAGCCCGGGAAATGGCCATGTTTCTGCAGAGCCCATCATCTCCAATCTCCTCTATCAGAGGAGCCCGGGAAGAGGCCAGTGGCCGCCCTTGACTGACTTCACATCCCTGGGTGGCCATGTTTGTGCAAAGCCCACTATTCCTGATGATCAGGGCACTGTCCTCTTCCAAAAGGGGGGCTTGCAGAGAAGTGAGCGTTGAGGGCTGAATCCCAACAAGCTCCTCTTCCTCTGAAGCTGAGTCTTCTGTGCCAGATGATGAGGTGCTGTCTGAGTCACTGGGCTCAGGACTGGGACCTGAAGCCTGCTGTGTGAGGCTACACTGGGGCGCTTTTCCGGCAGTTTCTTCCTCCTGCACCAGAAGTGCGGCGGCTTCCAGTTCCAGTAGCTCTAACCCCAGCTGGTCCTTACTGAGAGAGACTCCTTTCAAGGCTTCTGCGAGGGCAGCCAACTTTTTGGACCTTGAAAATTATATAAAGAAGAAAAATTAGGTCTGCTCATTAATCAGAGTGGTGACAAAAGGGTATAAAACATCACAAACCTGGCACCCTCACATGGTACCGGGGCAAGCCCAAGCAGGTCACAGATGTAAGTGTGAGAACATGAGAAGGCATGCAGCAGTGGAGGAAGTGTGGGCTCTCTCTATGACTTTAGAATGCGGAAAGCCTTTTTATCACTCACAGGATAGGAGCTAAGGGAGGAAAGTTTGATATTCAACTAAGGGAAACCCCACAACCCTCAAAACCAGATCAAAGCGCTAATGCTAAGTTGAGATTCTTCATCTTACTTCACAGACCAGAGCCTAATCCAGAAGAAATTTTGGAAACCAGAATTCTAAGACAGGAGAGTCCAACCGAAAAATGGGCAAATGACAGGGCAGATGGTGGAGCCTTAGTGTTGCTTACTGTTTTAATTTTTAAATCTACTAGGAATGCAATGTCTGCTCCTTAGAAGTGTTCAAATTTTGGGACTGGTGAGATGGCTCAGTGGATAAAGGCACCTGTTACCGAGAATTGCATCATCTAGACACACATGGCAGAGAACTGACTCCGGCAAGATGCCCTCTGACCTCTATGTGTGCTCACAATAAGCAAACTTTGTATAAAGCTTTGTTTTAATGGAGCTAGTGTGAACAAGATGGCACTTCCCATCGAGGAACCTGCCTATGTCTCAGGCCCTTCCTCACAACAGTCAGTATTCCTATGAGTTTTTACACTGACATGGTGGAACAATGTCCAAAGATGAGCAGAGTGAGAAGGGGACAAGGACAGTGGCATCACTGGCTAAAGAAAAGCCCCAGGCTTCAGTGGCACCTCCAGAGAGCTAGCTAAAGGAAAATGTCTGCCAAAGTAAAGATGACTCCAGACAGACCAGGGGAGTGAGCTAAGGACTCAGCAAGGGACAGCCTGCAGTTGGACTTTCACCACTATGAGGCTTCCCACAAAGAGCAGTTGTACATGAGCCATGCAATCCAAATGGCATCTGTGCCTACAACCACCCATGGGAATCTTTATTTTTCCAGAAAAAAAGATTTACTTAAAAAATCATGTTGATTTACTTTTGCCCTGTCACTAGGTGGCTTTTTTTTTTTTTTTTTTTTTTTTTTTTTTTTTTTTTTTTTTTTTTTTAAGGGAGAGAGGGAGAATTTCCTGGAAATTAAACCCATGGCCTTATGCATGCTAGATAAACACTTCACCAATGAGCTACAACTGCTGCCTTTGTTTTTTTGAGACTTGACAAGTGGATCATTAAGTCACACCCCAAACTAGATTTTCTTAGAAGTTGCTACAAATGTAACCCTACCATGTAACTGTACAGTCTTTGTACAGTTATAAGATGGTAACATCCCATCTGGAGGATTTTTAACAAAATTACAGATTGCTGACAAATTCTAGTAAATTTAACTACAGTGAAAGCGTAAAAGTAACAGCTATAAGTACACACCCCTGACATAGCTAAACTGGTATCATTCCTCCAACTACTTCACATTTGATGACTGAGTTTTGGGTTAGGAAGTGTTAAAAAGAACCTACAGCCCATGAAATAGTCAAAGTGCAAAAAGAGCCTCAAATGTATTAGGGGGTGGGACTCAGGCATAAATGAAAACATACATCCTGATTCTTGCTGTAGAACTGTGTCTTAAGTGATCAATCAACTTTTCACCACTTCCTGCCATGGCAGGTCTACTGTAAATCTCATAGTAAACCACTAGCTTTCATTTCCTCTGCACAAACCCAGGCCTGATGGGCAGGAAGCTGCTCTGAGACTGGAGCCAGCACCTGTGAATGCAGGCCAGGATTCCAGTGAGGCAATCTGAGCCAGTTCATACTGGATGACAGAGTCTACTGGCTAACTGTGCCAGGACACCTCACCTTCTATAGGATTCTGCCCCTCAGCCCCACTCAAAGTCTCAGGCTTAGTCTGGAGCCAAGCAACACTTTTACAGGACACTAATGACTGTGCACATCAGAATTCCTTTCTAATAAAAATTTAGAAACCTTCCTAAACTTCTGGGCCAGCTGTGCCCCACCCCTTACACACATACACACATTTTATTTTTAAAAATTAGATTTGCTTACTTAGTGTATGTGGTGGAGGTGTCTTGATGTGGGTACGGAGTTTAGAGGACAATTCAAGCTGGCTCTATCATTTCAGAGACAGAAAACAGGTGTCAGTACTGGGGCTAAGTGCCTATGCCTGCTGAGCCATCTCACTGGCCCCTGCCCCAAACCTATTTCTATAGCCTAATCTAAAAGGTAGTAGCAGGCTTTAGGTAGAAGTTACCAGAAAAAGTAGAAATGCCATAAAAGACAAATACCCATTGAGCTATGAACACAGACTTGACAGCCTTCAGAGTGGAAGCCATTTGTAGCCCCACCACAAATGCTGATGTCTACCCTGTGAATAAAAAGCTGCTTCTTTAACCCAGAGGGGAAACTAAGTACGAGCCGTTTAAGCCATGTCACCTTGAGCAAAGAAGTGACTTCCAGTTCAGTTTCCAACTTGATTTTAAGGCACTCTGACATGACTGTAATTCAAGGGGCTCTCAGGCTCTGCTCCCTGCATCTCATAACTAACGCGCCAGGTGGAGGAACATGTACCCAACTCTCCCTGGTATCCCCCACTTTACAAGTCTGCCAGCTACTTTACTGTGTTCCTCTGTCGGGCCTGATGCTGTCAGGCCATTTTGTAAGCTGTTTTTTTAAGGTGTCCCAAAAAGAACTGTAGGGGCTAATGTTGAGAGTCAGAATACTCTCAAAATAATGCTGACTAATGGAAGTCACTCACAAATGGCAGTTTCATTATTAATTACCTCAGTTACAGAAAGTGCAAAACCAGGCAAATTCTAGTGAGAAGCAACAATGGAGGTACAAGGTAGAGAGTGCTGGGTATTTCTGAGTCATTTCTTAGGACTGGGATAGTGGCTATATGTTTTACCCTATTAAAAAGCTTTTTCTGTTTACCAAGAGCCTGCACAGACTTCAATAAAAACTAACTTAAGATGCCCCCATGAACATCTTCCTATTGTAAGTCCTGAAAAGGAAGCCTCGGCTCTGGAATAAAGGGATAGAGCCAGAGTCCTAGACACAGCCCACAAGCACGGGCAAATAGCAAACAACAGACCTCTATGAACATGTTCCTTATCCCAAGCTTCTTTTTAAAAGACAAGGCATGTGCTCACAAACCCAACATGAACCTTCATACTCTGCCACCTGTGCAGAGTAGCAGACGGCTCCTTTCTCTGTACAAGTACACGGCTTGTGCATACCCAGCGTATCCCGAGTGTCAGTTACAGCACTGTCATAGTCCACTGTCCTTGTGTCTGAAGGCATCTGCCTCACAACTTCTGACCTATAAAGCCACATTAGTATTTTCTGAACTAAAACGTTTTTTAAACTTTAATACTATTTCAAATTCTCAAACTATTCTCTTAGCCAACAAAAATCAACTCTGGGTCATTAGAAATCATTCTTTCACATGTACAAATATTTAACAAAAGTGAACAGTATCATTAAATTTGTACACGAGAGAAAGAAAGCTTATTTTCCTAACACAGTGGCTTGTGGCTGCTTATACACACGTGTGTTCATATTTATGTACAGAGATCAGAAAACCCTGGTTGGCATTCCTCAGCTGTATGCATCTTGTTTTACTTAAAATAAACTTTTAAAGACTGATTTTATGTGCATGAGTGTTTTGTCTGTGCACCACATGAACATCGGTGTTCAGAAGTCAGATGAGTGTCAGATCCTCTGGTACTGGAGTTTGAATGGTTGTGTGCTACCATGTGGGTGCTGGGAACTGAATCCAGGTTTTCTACAAAAGCAACAGTCTCTTAGCTGCTGAGCCAGATTTCCAGCTCCTTGTGTTTTCTTTTTTGAGACAGAAGCTCTCATTGGCCTGGAACTTACCAAGTAGTCTAAGCTGGTTAGCTAACAAGCCCCAAGACTCCAGCCGTCTCTGCTGCCTCAGCATGGAATTACAAGCACATGCCATGGCACCCAGCTTTGATTATAAGGGTACCAGGGATCCAACTCAGGTCCTCATGCTTGCAAGGCAAGCATTTTACCTACAGGGCTATCTCCCCCGTTCAGACGGCCCCCCCAAGGATATAAACGTAAGTTATTTCAAAAAGCCCCCCCCCCCCAAAAAAAGACTACTCTATCAAATCCCCATGTCTTTGTGCCGCTGCTGTAAGGAGCAGGAGAAGACAAAAATCTATCTGGTCAACCTCAGCTCTGGGCTGCTCTTTTCCATTCAGCACATCTATGATGTTGCCCAGACAAGGGCCTGGTGTACTACACATGTCTTTGAGAAACAATAATTGCTATAGCCATTCAAGTTAGATTTATTTCCTTTTCAAATAAATTCTGAAATTCAAGGGATTACTTTGTCTAATACTATCTACAAGGGTACCTGCTGATGTACTCCTATCTAGATATACAGACTCAAACATATTTTTTCAGTATTTATAAAGAAGCACTTAATCAGACTGTTTGCTTTTTTTTTTTTTAAATGTTTGATTTTAATTTTATGCTTGTAAGTCTCTTGCCACTTGCAGGCCTGATGCCCACAGAGGCCAGAAGCGCTAACCCCTGAGCCTCCTCGTCAGCCCCTCTCCTCTGCATTCTTCCACTCTTGGCAGTCTGTCTGGAGCTACACCAGAGTGTATCCTGATTCTGCTCACACCAGCCAGACACTAGAATCAATGAGGCCTGTACCTTCCGAAACATCACCTCCTCAAGATAAAAATCTAACAGTAAGTCCCTAAATTTGACTACAAGTTGTCTACACATTATGTGAAAGCAGACATTGTGAGTTTCCAGATTCCAAGACTAGATAAAACTATTTTAGGGCACTGGAATGTATCATTCCACAACTAACTTATCTAAGAAATAAATATCTGAGCATAAAAAACAGCAAAGGAAGTCTTTATTCTCAGTCACCAAGATCCCTGGAG